GGGTGGCCGGAGCACAGCTGGAGCCCCTCGCTGTAGGTAAAGGCAAAGCCCAAACCCTGCTCCCGCCGACAGGGCTGAGCGATGGTCTCCAGCACCACCCCGACCACCTCCCGCTGCTTCTGCTTCAGGACCTTTCAGAAGGTGTTTGAGGCCGATGACCCCGAGAGCAGCTGCAGCCACACCAAAGCATCTGCTGGCCTTCCTGGCTAACAGAGATCCTCGGAACCAAGATCTGCCCGTCCTGCAAGTACCACCTTAGTGAGCAGCTGAGCCTGATCTTGATGTAGGGGTTGAGCAGCACTTGGACTTCAAAAGTGATGAGAGTTATGAAAGTAACGTCTCCGAAAAGAGAAACATGGGATGGTGTAAAAATCCACTTTGCTCAGGAACAAGCAGGGATGAGGTCTTCGCAGTTTAATTTGAACTTTCTTTCCCATTTAGCCCAGAGTGAGACCTCCTGAAAACGGAGGAGCTGAATTTAGGCTGGAAACTGGGGACGATTCACCCAACGTCTGTCTGGCCTGGAATCACAGAATGGTTTGGGTTGGAAGCGACCTCAAAGACCATCTGGTTCCAACCTCCCTGCCCCCCCTCCACTACACCAGGTTGCTCAAAGAAGGAAGGAACAACCAAACCCAGAAGTGTGGGTACATTTGGGGTGTTTCTCTCTCGGAGAGCTGGAAGATGCCGTTCTGTCAATGCTGGATAGTTCCCAAAACATAGAGCAGGCTGCAGAAAGCAGACACCTGCACCACGAGTGACTGACCGAAACCATCCCCTGCGTGTACTCAACACGCAAACTCCTTCAACGTTACAGAGAACACACAGGAGAAATACAAAGATGGATGAGAAAGCAATACCAATGTCTCCCTTAAAGTTCCTGATTTATTCCGTACAATGCCGACAAGGATTTCACTGTAACCGCTTCCTGCCTTTCAGTAAACAGCTCTGCCACTCACCGGACTGCAACAGGGGGCTTGTGCTTCCTACTGCTGGCATGACTGCCTGAAGTCTGGTTTCCTCAACTCTCATGAACGTTGCATAAATCATCTGGGGAGGGACTTTTTACAAGAGTGTCCACTGATAGGACAAGGGGAAATGGGTTTAAGTTGAAGGAGAACAGATTTAGATTAGATCTTAGGAAGAAATTCTTCAGTACGAGGGTGGTGAGACTTGGGAATAAATTGCCCAGAGAAGTTGTGGATGCCCCCTCCCTGGAGGTGTTCAAGGCCAGGCTGGACGGAGCCTTGAGTAGCCTGGTCTAGTTGAGAGGCGTCCCTGCCCATGACAGGGAGGTTGGATTAGATGATCTCTAAGGTCCCTTCCAGCCTACGCCATTCTATGATTCTATGATCTGCCTTTCCATCCATCCATCCATCCATCCATCCATCCATCCATCCATCCATCCCAAACTACTCCATCCCTCTCCTGCTCTCCATTCCCCATTAGTAACAACTGTTCTGCATTTTCTTTTCCTGTTGAGTTCTGCTTTATTCGATTCCATCTCAAGCTCCCAGTTTGTTGTAAACTTCTTGGGTGGCTTTGATTTATCCTCATGTTTCTGTGTTCAGAAGTGACCTGCTCAACTTGGTCTTGATCCTGGACGGAAAAGTGAGCACTGGGCTACGGTCTGTAACACACAGAGCTGAGCCCCCACGAAGAGAAACAACCTGCACACAGGAATCGATTATTTCAGGTGAAGTAACTGGACAAGAATAATTTTCAAGAGACAGCTTAACAAACCAAACCATCCTCCATTTGAATATCCTGACCTTACTCAGAAAAAGATTGGCCTGCAAAATAATTTTCAAATGAAAAGTCATTTTCAAAAAAGATTCTTGACAAGATTCAGATCTACTGTGGTTTTCCAGCTCAGTCAGACCCTGAGAACAAAATTCTGTTCTCGTTTACATCAGAGCAAAGCTCAAAGCCTAATGAAATATTTGATGTTCACCCTGATGTAAATGAGAGCAGAATTTGGTCCAAAATATCCTGTTTTCCCTACTGACTTTATTATAGGGTGAGTGTTAGGCAGGAGTTCAGGTTTCTTTTGAAGTTACTTTATGGCAAGGAGATAGAGTGGCAGAGATCTAGTTCAACAAGTCTAATCTGTCCTAAATATGCACATGTGTCTGATGAAAGAACCACAGAGAAGCTGTGGCAGCCCTGCAACGCATAGTTACAGAAGCCACACAAATATTATTGAGCTTACAGTAATTTAAATTGGAAGTATACTGCTAGAAATCTAACCCCGGGTACTTTGCATGTCAGCAAGTCAGAGATTTTTAATATACCAGCTGAATGAGTTATAAACACGAAGACTTGAAACCATTACTGACAAATTGCCCAGGAGGAAACTGGAAAACAGCACAGGGCAAGAAATAAGCAGCGTAATGGGATAAAGAGAAGAACAGCCAAAAGCAGAACTGAGAAAAGTACAACCCCCTCCTTGAATCCCTGCTTCACCTGCAACATCCAACAGCTCCACTAGAGCAAACAACTTCATCGAACGCAACCAGGAATGGAGTAAATAAATAATGGCAGACACACGGAATGTGTTACACAGGAGTTTTCGAATGTCAGCAGGAGAAAAAAGAGATCACAGAGCACTTGGAAGGAAGTGAAGGAGCCAAACGTCAACTAAAGATGTCAGGAAGGTGAGAGAGCAAACGGGAGTTGACACGTCCCTCCCTGTGACATGCAAAGGGCCTGTTCAAGGAGCTCTACGGACCCTCCCCACCAGTGGGACTTGGGCTTTGGTCATTTGCCCAACTTATCTGTAATCCCTCACACTGTCCTCCCCAACAAGTCATGTTTCTTCCACAGTACAGCAGTAACAAGCCAGAGGAATTTAAGCCTGGGATAACATGTACTCTGCATGTTTACGGTGCTTCTCCTACTTGAAGCACTTATCTCCTATTGCCTGACTGTTCTTCCCGACAATTTCATCCACGTTTGCTTCTCCGATTCCTTCAGTTCACAAAGGTGCAAACAAGGACAAAGATAGTGGCAGTTTTCCCACGGCTACAGGTGGATAAATGAAAGAACCAGACTACAACTTCCAGTTCTGTGCCTGGGGGCTGCAGACCTTTCCCCAGCTTGTGGCAGAACGTCTTATAGAATCATAGAATGGTAAGGGCTGGAAGGGACCTTCAAAGGTCATCTAGTCCAACCCCCCTGCAAGGAACAGGGATATCTCCAACTAGATCAGGTTGCTCAGGGCCTCGTCCAACCTGGCCTTGAACGTCTCCAGGGATGGAGCATCCACCACCTCTCTGGGCAACCTGTTCCAGTGTTCTACAACTCTCATGGTAAAAAATTTTTTCCTAATATCCAACCTGAATCTACCTCCCTCTATTTTAAAACCATTACCCCTTGTCCTATCACAACAGGCCCTCCTGAACAGCCTCTCCCCATCTTTCCTGTAGGCCCCCTTGAGGTACTGGAAGGCCGCTATCAGGTCACCCCGGAGCCTCCTCTTCTCCAGGCTGAACAGCCCCAACTC